TCTCCAAAAGCATCTAGTATGTTACGTACATTATATATAATAACAGAAAGCTGCTAAACGTGCACCTGGTCTAAGCCCCGCGCACGGTGTGGTTAGGGTCATCTCACCGCATGGGGCACTCGGTACCCAACAAAGTTTGGCTCCTGGGGGCTCGGGGCACTGATGAAGGTGCACGGCCCCAGGAAAACCTTAATGAATTATTTTCCTGTAAGCATGCCTTTATGTACCACTAAAATCTATTGTATATATAGAAATATAAAATGACTTTATTAAAAATATGCTGCTAAATATGTTTTCTGCAACCATACCTACTGCGGTTACAGCCGCTACTGCAGCTGACAGCCACCGCGGCGCTGCGTGCTCCTGCATTACAGCTGCACTGTGTGCATAACAGGTAATGTACGTTAAACACAGACCTTTGTAGCAATAAAATATATAATTATAGATACATAAATATAAACCTAGATTATTAAATGCTGCTAAATATGCTGAATGAAAATATAACTGAGTTTATATCTGTATAAACAACTGTACAGAGCTACAGGGACACCCAATCGCACACACGAAAGCGAGAGAGAGAGAGAGAGTGTGTGTGTGTGTGTGTGTGTGTGCGTGTGTATTATGACAAATGTATTTTGTGCCTAATATATAGCCTATGTCATAAAAACAGACCTTTATAGCAGTAAAATCTATTCTTTTTATATGATGTATTACAAAGGTATATAGTGAGTAAATAGTGATAAATAAAGATAATTATTACATTTGTATCCATATACAGATATACAGAGAGGCTGTGCGATACAGGTGTGTGCGCGCACACACACACACACACACTTTGTGCATACTATATTACATATATCTTAAAAACAGACCTTTTATCAATAAAATGTGTGTATAAAAAAAGATATAAAATCATATGAAGTAATGCTGTTAAATATGTACATGACAGTACAATTAATTATTAAACAGGTCTAGATGGAGCGCTGTGGTGTACAGGTACAAAGGTGCACAGGCGCACACGGGCAGGGGCGCGCGCGCGCATTAGACTGATGACACGTTGTGTCTCATAGAACGTATATTGAAAAAAACAGACCTTTATATTAATAAAATATATATTTACAAATAAATATAAAAGTATAAACCTAGCTTCTAAAAATAAAATCTGCTAAATAGCTAAATATGCTATATGAAAATATAATTTTAAAACTTTTATATCTACTACACTTTTTTAATATATGTGTGTAAAAATATATAACTTTCAAAAAAAATATATAGCTTTCATGAGTGTACACACATGCATGGGATGGGGGGGGGGAGATTCTGTGTTATGAAAACATCTATTTTGTGCATAACATGTACTATATATTTAAACCCAGACTGAGGCGGGGGGACAGTGGGACGGACGATGATGACGGACGGATGTGTCTCTGTGTGCCCTGTGATGC